CTTTGAGCTGTGGTGCTGGAGAAGAGTGTTGAATATACCATGGACTGCTAGGAGAACAAACAGGTTTGTCCTGGAGAGGGTGAAGCTCGAATGCTCCTTGTAGTCAAGGATTCTGAAGGTTCGTCTGACATAATTTGGGCATGTTGCAAGGAGGAACTGGTCCTTGGAGAGGGATATCATGTTTGGGAGAGGAAGACCCTCGATGAGTTGGATTGACTCTGTGCGTGGAGTGGTGGGAATGAGTGTGTTTGAGACGGCGAGGTTGGCACAGGATAGAACAGCATTTAGGGCTCTTGCACATAGGGTCGCTATGAGTCACAAGTGACTTGATGGCACATAACAACAGCAACAACACCTCCCAGAGCTCTGGATGATGCTTACTACTCATTGCTCTTGAATCAGTCCTGCCTTCTTGCTGGCTGAACCTTCACTGGGTTTCCAAGGTTGTAAATACCATGGGAGGAGCAGTCACTGGAGAATTCAAGCTGCCAGAGAGCACTAGCAGGGCAACACCACCCCTAGGTCTAGGCCACCCCAAAAGGCACCCTAGAGGAACTAGGCGGGGCCTACCTGGATTGCGATTGGGATCATCTTGTTGGCTAAATTCTTGTACAGCAAGCAGATGGGTGCAGCCAGGAACTGCATTGTGCAGGGATCTGTTTTGTTGGCATCAATGCCGTCTAGCAGTTCAAAGTCCACAATGAAAATATTCCCCTGCTGCAGGAAAAGGAAAGAAACATTATATGTAAACCTCATTTTCAGCCAGAGAAACTGACGACTAGGTGCTGGGGAGGGAAAGACAATGTTTAGAGGTCTTGAGAAGCTCAGAGGAATTAAGAACTTAACTGCTTTTTATCCTTATTCAAAGGCTTATAGATCAATCAGAGCCACACAATAATTTTTACAGATTAGGATGTTCTCTAGTTCTGTGATAAAGCTCAGACCAAATCCACTTCCCACTGAACCAATTCCAAGTCATAATAAATGATTTGAGACTAACATATCTTTTTCCTATCGTGCTGCCAGAACTAAATCAAAACAAACAAACAAACAAACAACCTTTACTACCATCAGATTGATTCCCACTCAACAAACTTCAGTTATGTTTTCTAGGCTGTAAATTTTTTCTTTTTAAAGCAAATTATTATTTTTTAATTCAGCATTTAAAAAACTGGTTTTATGCAATCATCCATATATATTTTGTTTTATGACATTTATTATAATTGATCAATGTCATCTATCACAATGTCTCATCAAATCCTTACTGTACCTTGCCTTTTCCTTCAACCTATCCAACCATCCATCCATCCATCCAGCTATCCATCCATCCACCCATCCACCCATCCATCCACTAATCTCTGCTGTCCTAGCACCTTTTTTTAAAACCTCTCACACCTCCCTATTCCCCATTTTAAAAAAATCCTGCTAGTTTGTTTACAAAATTTGAATACATTGTTTTCAAGAACAAATTCTTTCAATTTCCCTCATCCCTCAAAAAATTATACATTTTTATTTGTTCATTTCATTTCAATGAACATATACAGAGATTTTGGA